AGCACCCCCAGGCTCCGCACTCTCCGCAGTAGCACCCGCAGGCCCAGTACCCCCAGCAGTAGCACCCCCAGGCTCAGCACCCCCGCGCACAGCACCCCCAGAGTCAGCACCCCCAGGCTCAGCACCCGCAGCAGCACCAGAGTCACCAGTAACCTCGACCGGGTCAACGGCGTCTACCTGGGACACACCTGAGGGGGCAGGAACCTGAGGGGGGAGGGGGTCTACCGGGGGGGGAACCGGTACAAGGAAGTCCGGGGGAGGGGGGAGGGAAGGAGTGCGGTAGGGGAAGAGACGGTAGAAGGGGACTGACTCGTCGAACGTGACGTCCTGGGAGGACAGAACACGACGAGAGGAGGGGTGGTAAAACTGCCACCCTGGGGCGTCAGTGGGGAAGCCAAGGAAGACACAGGGAGCAGCACGAGGGGACAGCTTGTCCGCAGACAAGTCGCGGACAAACGCCCGAGATCCCCAGACACGGAACACAGACGCATCGCCAACCTTCCCTGACCACAGCAAGGCTGGGGACATCGCAGGCCGAGAGACCCGGGGGTGAAGGTTGAGCTGATGCGCCGCGTACCTCACCGCAAACGGCCACAGAAAATGGGGGGCAGCCGCATGCATCATGGACGTACGAGCGACATCCATGACCATGCCAATGCGGCGCTCAGCAATCCCATTTTGCTGTGGTGAGTCCGGAAGCGTGAAGGACTGGCGGATGCCTCGCGCACGACAGTAGGCACGCAGAAGGCAAGAGGAGAACTCTCCGCCTCTGTCCGAGTGCAGACGCAGAACAGGAAAGTCCGAGCCGAAGCTCTTCCTGAGCCGGAGACGAGCCTCGCGGATCCAGTCGATCAGCACCTCAGTGACCTCACCCTTGCTGCGCAAGGGGAGGACTGTGGTGTAACGCGAGTAGTCGTCAACCACCAACAGGAAGTAGCGCTCGTAATCCTGCCCACGGACGGGGGCTGGGCCCCACACATCCATGTGAAGCGTCTGCAGGGGAGCCTCTGTCGGGGGGAAGTGGGAGGAGTGAGGAGTAGCCCGGAGGCGACCCTCGACACAGGGGACACAGGAAGGTCCTGGCCCGGAGGGGAGAGGAGGGAGAGACTGGGGAAGACCAGAGACAAGGACACGGGAAGCCATGCTCCGAAGACGGGGCAAGGAGGGGTGGCCAAGACGGTGGTGCCACAGGAGAGTCTCGTGAGACAGGAGGCGACAAGTACAGGGGGCAGACTCAGGACCAGACCTGGACGCAGCAGCAAACACCTGACCCGACGCTGCTACCTGACCGGACGCGGGGACAGGAGGAGACTCAGTGGTCAGGGTCTAGAGGCTCGACCCCGGCCGACGCGAGAACGTGGCCAGGTGCCGGCCTGTGCGTGCGTCCGTGCAGTGGGTCACCCGCTGACTCGCAGGAGTGAACTGGTGAACCCCCGCATCCTGTAGGTCTGCACCACTCACCAAGTTCGTCGAGAACGAGGGGAGGTACAGGCCAGACAGGGTGCCCGAGGGGGCAGCCGGACACGGGAGGACAGTGGAGAAGTGAGCGAGGACAGGACCCCCAGAGGGGTCAGCCAGGGAGACTGCAACCGGCCGACCAAGCGGCGTGAGTGTGGTGCGGTCCCGAAAGAAGGAGCGAGAAGCCCCAGAGTCAAGTGTAAAGGTGAGGGAGGCCGAAGCCAACGCGGTACCTGAGAGCGCAGCCTCACCCGCACCTGAGGAAGCAGACTCACTAGCACCTAGAGCAGCAGCCGCACCTGTACCTGGAGCAGGAGACTCACTAGCACCCAGAGCAGCAGCCTCACCAGTAGCTAGAGCAGCAGGTCCTATACCTGGGTCAGGCGGGACGCACAGGTGACCTGCACGGTCAGCACTAGTAGGCAATGCATACATGGCAGTGAGAATAGCATCATAGTCAAGAGCATATATATCTACCCTCTGCCTAAGCAACTCCACCCAGTCGGGAAGCTCAGCCTCGTCGCCAAACACGGTACGCCAGGCGTCGCTCAGACGGGCGAAGCAGCGGGACGGTGTATGACTACGTGTCCCACAAGGCTGACCAGACCGAGTACCAGTGCGAATCACGTAAGAGCAGCGAACAGCACTGAGAGACCCTCCACTCTGAGCGTACCACTCACGAAGCTGGCGAGGCGTGAGAGACACGCGAGAGGGTCGCGGGAGCTGCATCTGGCCGCCACCACGAGTAGAAGCAGCAGGAGTGGTAGTAGGAGTAGCGTCGCCACCCCTACAGCCCCAACCAGCGTACCACTCACGCAGCTGCTGCGGCGTGAGGGACTCACGCCGGCGTCGCTGGGGCTGCATTTGGCTCCGCAAGTAGAAGCAGGAGCAGGACTAGCAGCAGGGAGGCAGGCAGCCAGGCAAGCCAAAAGGCAGGCAGGCAGGCAAGCAGGCGACGCGCAGCGTGCTAGCAGGGCAAGAGCTCACCAGTGGTGGGAAGAGTAGGTTCGGCGACTCAGCGGCTCGGCAGCTCGGCGGCTCAGCGGCTCGGGCGACTCGGGCGGCTCGGCGGCAAGGCGGCTCAGCAGCAACTGCAGCTCAGTAGCTCGGTGACTCGGCGGCTCGGCGGCAGGGCGGCTCGGCAGCAACTGCAGCTCAGCAGCTCAGCGACCCGGCGGCTCGGCGGCAGGGCGGCTCGGCTGTGGGGCGGCTCGGCTGCTGCAGTGGGAGATGAAGGAGGAGGAGAAGCAGGGGAGGCCACCCCGCAAGCGGCCCCCTCAGGTCGCCTTGACAGGCGACGGGAAAAGGGGGGGTGGGTGGTGGGGGGCCGGTAGGTGCAGCGGCGGGGCCAGCAGGTGCAGTTGCGGGGCCGGTAGAAGGGGACGGCAGGAGCCGTCAGGAGGGGACGGCGGGGCCGTCAGGAAGGGACGGCGGGGCCGTCACGAAGGGACGGCGGGGCCGTCAGGAGGTGACCGGGCCGCGACGGGGGCAGGCGGCGGGGCCGCGTAAGGGCCTGGGCGGGGCCGCGACAGAGCCGTCGGCGGGGCCGCGTGAAAGCCGGGGCGGGGCCGCGTAGAAGCCGGGGCGGGGCTGCGCGAGAGCAGGCGGCGGGGCCGCGAAGGAGCCGGGGCGGGGCCGCGTGAGAGCAGGCGGCGGAGCCGCGTAAGGGCCTGGGCGGGGCCGCGACAAAGCCGTCGGCGGGGCCGCGTGAAAGCCGGGGCGGGGCCGCGTAGAAGCCGGGGCGGGGCCGCGCGAGAGCAGGCTGCGGGGCCGCGAAGGAGCCGGGGCGGGGCCGCGTGAGAGCAGGCGGCGGAGCCGCGTAAGGGCCTGGGCGGGGCCGCGACAAAGCCGTCGGCGGGGCCGCGTGAAAGCCGGGGCGGGGCCGCGTAGAAGCCGGGGCGGGGCCGCGCGAGAGCAGGCGGCGGGGCCGCGAAGGAGCCGGGGCGGGGCCGCGTGAGAGCAGGCGGCGGAGCCGCGTAAGGGCCTGGGCGGGGCCGCGACAAAGCCGTCGGCGGGGCCGCGTGAAAGCCGGGGCGGGGCCGCGTAGAAGCCGGGGCGGGGCCGCGCGAGAGCAGGCGGCGGGGCCGCGAAGGAGCCGGGGCGGGGCCGCGTGAGAGCAGGCGGCGGGGCCGCGACAGAGAGGGCGGCGGGGCCGCGTCAGTGAAGGCGGCGGGGCCGCAGGGGAAATGGCGACCCGAGGGGTCGCTAAAAAAAAGGATCGCGCCTCGGGGGGCGCTTCGGTGGGCCCAAAAAACGGTCCGTAGAAGGACCCGCTCTATACCATGTGAGAATAAGCAAACAGGAATGAATGAACTAGCAGTGAAATGAGTACAAGTAGGAAACCCTAGAATTGTGTACCCCTTATAGGCTAACCCACTGTAGCCTACACAAGCATAACATATATAATGTTTGACAACTTTAGCGTTGTGATCATTAGCGGTTGTGTACTGTCCGAGGACTTGTGCCTACTTGGCCTTACTTGCTCACCTCTTGACTTTGCTTAACTGTGATCTATATTGTATACATGCATGCCTACTTCTGCTAGGTAGTGATCACTATACTCCTTGTTCTCCTTTATATATTACTCTGCATGTGAATTGGCCTTGTGGCCCTTTGCTTGTGCTAGTAGTGTGTGGTGACGTTATGATCCACCCTGAGCTCGCTGTGAAGAATGAGGAATGAATGAACTAGGAAAGAGGTGGGTACAAGTAGGAAAACCTAGAAATGTTGTAACCCATATAGTCTACCCCACTACAGCCTACACACACTATAGCATACAAGTTTGACACACCCCCATAGGGAAAGTGGGGGAGAACAAGAGGTCACAAGACCAGTCAAGCAAAGCAAAGCAAGCTGACGGTGGATCACAACGTCACCACACATTTCGAGCACAAGAGTAAGGCCAAAAGGCCAGTTCACATGCAAGATCATATATATAGGTAAACAGGCAAGTGCAAGTATAGAAAGATCACAGTACAAGCAAGGTCAAGAAGTGAGCAAGTGAGGCCAAGTAGCCACAAGACCTAGCATCGTACAAAAGCGCTGATGATCACAAGGCGGAAGTGCCTTGGTAAAGATATCAGCAGTGTTGGCCTCAGAGGCCACGTAAGCAAGGCGCACCAGACCACGCTGCTGCAGCTCACGAGCAAGGAAGTAGCGAAGAGCAATGTGCCTCGTTCTATGCTCCAGTCTGTGCTCCCGACACAAGGCCAGCATGGCCTTGTTGTCTACGTACATTGGAGGAGAACGAGGCGGCTCTCCTAGGTCAGTCAGCAGGTAGGTGAGCCAGCGTAGCTCCTGTGCAGCCATGGCCCCCGCGTAGATCTCAGCCTCACAGCTGGAGCCAAGAACAGAAGACGAGCAGGTAGTCCGCCATGAAACAGAGCCAGAACCAAGGCTGAAGGTGTAACCCTGTGACGACCGCTGCGTAGCCTAGTCATCAACACAAGAAGCGTCTGCGTGACCTGTGAGGACCACTGGACGTCGCCCTCCAAGCACTAGCCCCATGCCCGACGTACTGCACAAGTAACGCAACACCCTCTTCACTGCAGCCATGTGCTCTGGTCGGTGTCTCCCAGGAGCAACATAGCGTGCCAAGATGCTAAGAGGGTATGCAAGGTCAGGTCGTGTGCAGGTCATCAGGTACATGAGGCAGCCAACAAGCTCTGGGTACGGGCCACTTGGCTCTACGGACTCATCCGAAGGCAGAGCTGAGAGCGAGTGGCGGGTAGACAGAGGAGTGGCATGAGGTGAGGAGTACGTGGAGTTGAAGCGCTTAAGGACCTGCTGCACCATGTGTGACTGAGTCAGGGTAATGGTGCGCTGTGCTCTGTCCCGGGTGATATGCAAGCCAAGGTAGCTGCGCAGTTCACCCAGGTCTATGCACGTGTGTCTCTTCTGCAGCTCGGACTTCACGTGGGCGAGTCCAGCAGTGTCAGCAGTGGCAAAGACCAAGTCGTCGACGTACACGAGGATGTAGAACGGCGCCAAAGAGGTGTCCGTGCGCAGAAACAGCGACGGGTCGGCAGTAGAAGGAGCAAACCCAAGAGCTGCAAGTGTAGTCCTCAGGGTGTCGTGCCACTCACGGGGCGCCTGGCGGAGACCGTAGACTGGCCGCCGGAGGCTCCACTGGGTACCAGGGGGAAACGACCCTGTGAAGCCAGGTGGGAGGCGCAGCCAGGGACCACCACCGGAGCCACTCCTCTGTGCAGATCCGCGACCAGCTCCACCGCTGCCTCCGCCGCCTCCGCCACCTCTGCCGCCTCCGCCACCTCCTCCGCCTCCGCCACCTCCGCCGCCTCCGCTCCCTCCGCCACCGCCGCCGCCTCCTCCGCCTCCACTGCCTCCACCACCACCTCCACCGCCCTCGCCAGTCCCTCCAACGCCCTTGCCCCCCTTGCCCTTGTTGGTGCGGCGTTACCCGCTAGGGGCAGACGCAGCGCCGACCGACTCGAAGCCAACGAGGTCGGCCGCAGCAGCAGAAGCAACAGAGGGCAAGAGGGGGGAGGGAGAACACCCCTCAAAGACGGGGGTGCGAGGGTCACCACGAGAGGCTCCTACAGCGACTATGCTCTCCTCTACTGCTAGGAGGCGCTCCTCGAGGAGGTCAACGGTGAGTGTGGTGGGGCAAACTGAAGGAAGTGGTCTCTGACTATGCGAAGGGAGTAAGGGAGCCGGGTGACTATGTAGTAGAGGGTGATGTACATGGGGGAGGGGGGGGGGGGGGTTCTTGGCACAGAACTCACGAGAAAGTGCAGCGCGGTAGCGAGTGTCGCTAGTGCGAAGGTGCGTAATGAGGTCAGCAAAAGGCAGCAAGGTCATGGAATAGGTACGGTAGCATGAGGTGGCTAAGTGAAACTACATCGTCGTACATGAGAAGAAACGAGGAATGAAATGACTAAGTGAAAGTTGGGTACAAATACAAACCCTAGAAATCTGTACCCCATATGTGCTACCCCACTATAGCCTACAATATCTATGTCATATAAATCTGACACACCACCATAGGCAAAGTGGGGGAGAACAAGGGGTCAGAAGACCAGTCAAGCAAAGCAAAGCAAAGCAAGCTCAGGGTGGATCACAAAGTCACCACACATTTCGAACACAAGTTCAAGGCCACAAGGCCAGTTCACATGCAGGATTACATAAATATATAAGGCTAGACAAGCAAGAGCAGGTGTTTATATATATATATATGTGTGTAACAGTACAAACAAGGTCAAGGGGTGAGCAAGTGAGGCAAGGTAGGCACAAGACCCAGCTGAGTACAGAAGCGCTGATGTTCACAAGGCGCAAGTGCCTTGGTGAAGATATCAGCAGTGTTGGCCTCAGAGGCCACGTACGCAAGCCGCAGCTGACCAAGCTGCTGTAGCTCATGAGCAAGGAAGTAGCGGAGAGCAATGTGCTTTGTTATGTGCTCCAGTCTCTGCTCTCGACACAAGTCCAGCATGGCCTTGTTGTCTACGTACAGCACTGGAGGAGAACGAGGCGGCTCTCCGATGTCAGTCAGTAGGTAGGTGAGCCAGCGAAGCTCCTGTGCAGCCACGGCTCCTGTGTAGATCTCAGCCTCACAACTGGAGCCGAGAACAGAAGACGAGTGGGTAGCCCGCCACGAAACAGAGCCGTAACCAAGGCTGAAGGTGTAACCCTGTGACGATCGCTGCATAGCCTGGTCGTCAGCCCAAGAAGCGTCTGCGTGCCGAGCGAGGACCATTGGACTCCGCCCTCCAAGCACAAGCCCCATGCCCGACGTACTGCACAAGTAGCGCAACACCCTCTTCGCTGCAGCCATGTGCTCCGGTCTGTGTCTCCCAGGAGCAACATAGCGTGCGAGAATGCTATGAGGGTATGCAAGGTCAGGTCATGTGTAGGTCATCAGGTACATGAGGCAGCCAACAAGCTCTGGGTACGGGCCACTCGACTCTACGGACTTATCCGAAGGCAGAGGTGAGAGTGAGTGGCGAGTAGGCAGAGGAGTGGCCTGAGGCGAAGAGTACGTGAAGCCGAAGCGCTGAAGGACCTGCTGCACCATGTGTGATTGAGTCAGGGTAATGGTGCGGCGTGCTCTGTCCCGGGTGATCTGCAAGCCAAGGTAGCTGCGCAGTTCACCCAGGTCAGTGCACGTGTGTCTCTTCTGCAGCTCGGACTTCACGTGGGCGAGTCCAGCAGTGTCAGCTGTGGCAAAGACCAAGTCGTCAACGTACACGAGGATGTAGAACGGCGGCAAAGAAGTGTCGGTGCAAACCCAAGAGCCGCAAGTGTAGTCCTCAGTGTGTCATGCCACCCACGCGGTGCCTGCGGAAAAGACCCAGTGAAGCCAGGTGGGCGACGCAGCCAGATCTCCTCGTGCAGGCTGCCCTGCAAGAAAGCAGTGCTAAAGTCAATAGAGTGCAGCTCGTAGTCACGGTGAGCAGCTATGTGCAGCAGTACCCGAAGAGTGGTCATCTTCGGGGTGGAAGAGAAGGTCTGAAAGTAGTCAACTCCTTGCCACTGACTGAAGCCACGAGCCACGTAACGCGCCTTGAAGACAGGCGGAGAACCCGGCGGCCGATTCACCCTGAAAATACACATGCCACTGACGATGTTCGCCCCAGGCTGGGGAACCTCATCAACGTGGGTGCCTGTGGACTTCCACGAAGCCATCTCTGTGTCCATAGCTGCCTGCCATTGAGAGGAGTAGGGACCCTCTATCGCCTCCGCGTAAGAGCGCGGAGTCGGGATGTCAAGTGCATCCGGGTCTCCCTCAAGGGTAAGCAGTACGGACACGAGATGAGGTGAAGCAGCAGCCAAACACTGGACCTCCTCTTGCCTGTCCTCAAGGACGTCCGTGCCAAGGGCACACTCACCCCCGACGGACGGAGGATAGATAGACTCAGACTCAGCGTCAAGACTAGCAGCGTTGTCTAGACGTCAGCGAGCAGCAGAGTCGATGAGCTCAGCAACAAGGGCAGACGCAGCAGTGGATTCAAAGGAAGGGTCAGTGACGAAAGTAGAAAGGAGACGCGTGACAGTAGGACTGGCAGCACGAAGAGAGTCCGACTCCGGGTTGGCAAGAGCAGGAAGAGAGGACTTAGGAGGAGAAGGCAAAGGGGCACGCAGAGGAGCAGTGGATGGACGCAGAGACATCCGGTGCGTGCCAGGGACAGGAGGAGGACGTTGACGCGAACCACGACCACTAGTGCGAGCAGGACGGACAGGCGACGCAGGGCGAGACGCAGGCTCACGACGCTCAGCAAGACCTCAATTAGGACCAGTGTAGGGAGAAGGAGCAGGCAGAGGGGAGGCGGGCTGTAACTGTAACTGTGACGGGACAGGCTGTGGACACTCTAAGGGAGGAGGAGGACCAGTAGAAGGCGGGAGACCAAGAACCTGCTGAAGGAGCGGAACGAAGTACGGTCGAGGCCGCGCGGCGACTCCAGACACTGCAGGGACAGCACCAGTACCCCCAGTGGTAGCACCAGCACCAGCAGCACCTCGAGCTCCAGTACCCCTTGCAGCTGAAGTAGCTCCAGGACCTCAAGCAGCAGCCTCAGCGCCAACACCCTCAGCAGCTCCAGCTCCAGTCGTACTCGCACGCCTAGCAGCTCTAGTACTCCCAGTACGAGCACCTCCGTGACCCGCGATTGCAGCACCCTCAGTAGCCGAAGAACCTCCAGCTCCAACAGCACGCCTCCAGCGCCGAGCAAACCACTCGCGCAGCTCCTGTGGAGACGAAGCACCCGGAGAACCTCCAGGCACAGTACCGCCAAACGCGACACGAGTAGGACCAGCTCCCTCAGGCTTGCACCCCCAGGCGTAGCACCCCCAGGCTCAGAACCCCCAGTCGTAGCACCCCCAGGCGCAATACCTGCAGGATAGCACCCCCAGGCTCAGCACCCCCAGTCGTAGCACCCCCACGCTCAGCACCCCCAGTCGTAGTACCCCCAGGCGCAGTATCCCCAGGCGTAGCACCCCCAGGCTCAGCACCCCCAGGCCCAACACCCCTAGTAGTAGCATCCTCAGGCTCAGCACCCCCAGGCGTAGTACCCACACGCTCAGCACCCCCAGGCTGAGCACCCTCAGCAGCGCCAGAGTCACCAACAACCTCGATAGGCTCGACTGCGTCTACCTGGGACACACTTGAAGAGGCAGGACCTTGAGGGGGGAGGGGGTCTACCGGGGGGGGATCTGGCACAAGGAAGAGCGGTGGCGGTGGGAGGGACGAAGTGCGGTAGGGCAAGAGGCGGTAGTAGGGGACCGACTCCTCAAACGTGACGTCCTGGGAGGGCAGAATACGGCGAGAGGTGGGGTGGTAGAACTGCCACCCTGGTGCGTCAGGGGGGAAGCCAAGGAAGATGCAAGGAGCAGCACGAGGGGACAGCTTGTCCGCAGACAAGTCGCGGACAAACGCCCGAGATCCCCAGTGTCAAACATTATATATGTTGTGTTAGTTTAGGCTACAGTGGGTTAGCCTATAGGGGGTACACAATTCTAGGGTTAGGTACTTGTACTCATTTCATAGCTAGTTCATTCATTCCTGTTCAGTTATTCCAACATGGTATCAGAGCAGGTCCTTCCTAGGACCGAAATTTTCTAAGGGCCCACCACTACGTAACTACCTCTCTACCTACTTACCAGTGCCCTAGGGCGCCTCGACGTGTCACGCCCCTAGAGGCCTCTCTTGACGGCCCCGCGCTAGCCCCGTTCAGGCCCCGTTGGCCCCACGCCCGCTCTCCCTAGCGGCCCCGTTCAGGCCCCGTCGGCCCCTTTAAGGCCCCGTTCAGGCCCTGCGCTAGCCCCGTTCAGGCCCCGCCGGCCCTGCGCTAGCCTCTCTCAGGCCCCGTCTTCCCGCGCTAGCCCTGATTCAGGCCTTGTCGGCCCCGTTTCAGGCCCCGTCGGCTCGCGCTAGCCCCTCTCAGGCCCCGTCGGCCCGCGCTAGCCCCATTTCAGGCCCCGTCGGCCCCGCGCTAGCCCCTCTCAGGCCCCGTCGGCCCCGCGCTAGCCCCTCTCAGGCCCCGTCGGCCCCGCGCTAGCCCCATTCAGGCCCCGATCGGGCCCGCGCTAGCCCCGTTTCAGGCCCCGTCGGCTCCGTTTCAGGCCCTGTCGGCCCCGCGCTAGCCCCGTTCAGGCCCCGTCAAGGCCCCGTTTGGCCCCGCGCTAGCCCCGTTCAGGCCCCGTCAAGGCCCCGATCGGCCCCGTGCCCACCACCTAGAGGCCCCGGGCGGCCTATTCCCGCCGCAACACACGAGGGAGACCGGGCGGCCCGTCCCCGCCGTGACCCGAGCCGAGCCGCGCGCCCTGAACCGAGCCGCGCCACCCAGCCGAGCCGCGACCCGACCTGAACCGAGCCGCGCCGCCCTGCCCTACCTGGTTCGTCCTACCTGCTTCTCCTACTGCTACTGCTACTGCTACTGCTACTGCTACTGCTCCTGCTGCTATTTCTACTGTTCCTATGGCTAGCCCACATGTTCTCGTGTTCGATGCTGAGGGCCGCCCTGTGAAGTTTGACACCTGGCTCGATGACCTGCACCTCTACCTACAGCTCACAGCCAAGGATGACATCCTACTGTACGATCACGCCCTAGGCCATGTCACTGCCCCTGCTGCTACTGCTGACAGCACTGCTCGCTCACAGTGGCAGACTCGTGATGCCCACGCTCGCTTCGCCATTCGCAACTCCCTGCTGATAGACGAACGCGAGCGCTTTGGCCAGCACAAGACTGCACAGGCACTGTACCCAGGTGTCGTTGCTCGCTACTCCTCACCTGCCTCTGCCGCACTAGGCCGTCTCTCCCTCCCCTACCTGTTTCCCGACCTGGCCTCCTTTCACACAGTCGCTGACCTCATCACGCACCTCCGCAC